AGGGACTCGGGCCCTGTGGTGTCAGGACAAAGCTGCAATTAAACCTGACCTCTGCCATGTTCTAGCTCACGGGCCTGGATCACGGCCTGTGACTGAGCCTGGATCCCTGCTGTACAAAAAGGTGTCCCACCGCATGCGGGAAGGGCTGACAGCCCGGCCTCCGGCCGCAAGATGGCTCTGGCCATCCCCTCCCCCAAGTGGCTGCTTGAACACAGACCCAGCATCACCAGTCCCTTGATGACAGACTTCACCTGGCTCTGAGAGCCGCCTCCATGAAAGGAGCGAGCAGGTCCTCACCCAGAGGCTCGTTCCTGGAGAGGGGCTGGCTCTGCCGGCCAGGGGTGGGCACTAGGACGCTCCTTGGTCTGCCCCTGAGAATGTCAGCCGATGCTCCAGGGATGCCTGGATCCAACTCCCTGCTGCCTCTGTGAGCCTCGGTCTTAGGCTATTTCCTGGGGGACCAGGCCTTGGGGACCAAAGGCCCTGCCATAACAGGACCACTTCAGGGACTCAGGGTTAATACAGCCGCGTGCTGCACGGCCTCGGCTGGCTCCGTACCTGCTATGACTGTTGTGTCAGAGCTGCTCGGCCGCCTTTACTGTTCCTATCACCCGTCCCATCCTGCAGGAGATGGAGCAGAGGTTTCCAGAGGCAAAAGAAGGCAGAGCCTGGGTCAGGCCCCCTGGGAGCAGAGCAGGTGGCTTGGGTGGCAGAGGCCAGGAAGGGCCCTGTGAGTCAGGTCTGCCCACGGCTTGAAGCCACGGGGCTGCTTCCCACCAAGGGCAGGGCGAGGGTCTGAGTCAGCAATCAGGTAAGCGGCTGCAGAGGACGTGGGCCTTCCCACCTGCAGCCCAGATGCCTCCACGGCAGGGGTGGGCAGAGGCCTCTGTGCCAGGCGCAGCGCCAGCCCTAATCCGGAGGGAGGCCTGGGAGTGTCTCTCCTTCCTGAGTCTCAAGACTGGGCCTGAACCAAGAGCACTGGAATCCTGCAGAATCTGGGAGGCCAGGGGAAGCTTCCCTGAGCAGTCAGGGGCGTGGAGGAGGTTAGGAAGGGAGTACTACTGTGAAAGACTGTGCTAGGCAATGAGAACAGCAAGTGCAAAGGCCCAGGGGTGGAGGCCTGAGGGTGCCAACAACAGCAGGAAGTGTACGGTGCAGGAGAAGGAGAACCAGGGAGAGGAGGGCAGACAGGGATTGGGGCAGATTGTGCCGGGCCTTGTGGGTGTGGGGAACACTTCCGTTTCTACTCTGAGCAAGGCAGGAGCCGCAGGAAGCTTCTGTGCAGAAGACGGATGGACTCTGACTCAAGTTTTCACAGATCCTTCTGGCAGCTGGGAAGGTGGGGAGGTTCCAGACAGAAGCCCAGAGCCAGAGAGCCGTAGGGTGGGAGCGAAGAGGGGGAATTCCAGGAGCTCCGATGGATGCTGCTCAACATGCCCTTCTGAGGACCTCCTGGGTGCCAGCCCTGCACAGAGTCCACCAAGGCTGAGCCCTTCTGTCCAGGGAAGGAGGGATCGGTGCTGGGCCGGAAGTGTAGCCCAAGGACACCTGCACCGCACCTTCTAGGAGACAAGAGCTCACCAGCCCCATTTTACAGAGCAGGAAACTGAGGCTCTTTATGGAATCAGTGGGAGCAAAGCCCATGGCTAGAAGCAGGGGCTGAGGACAGGTCATCCCAGAGGACTCCCTGGAGGACGAGGCAGGCTGGGTTCCCAGGCTATGCCAATGCCACCAGTGTGCAGAAGGCTCCCGGCCCAGAGTGGCCCCAGCGCTTCAGCCAGCGCCTCCCAGAGCTCCCCGCACACTCATCTTTAGAGCTGTTCGTGCTTGTCCTTAAACAGACTGACTTTTTGTTGCTCGGTTTTGAAATAATAATTTACTGAGGTGAAATTCACATAGCACCCAATCACCATTTGAAAGCAAGCAAGTCTGTGGCCTTTTAATATTTCCCATGTACCCACCACCTCAAACGAGTTGCAAAACATTTTCATGACCCCAAAAGGAGACCCTGCGCCCACCAAGCAGTCATGGCCACCCCCACGCCCGGCCCTTGGGGGCCACCAGCCGTCACCCTGTCCCTGCACATGCATCCACGCTGCAGCCTCCTAGACAGGTCACCAGTACGTGACCCTCTGGCCCTGGCTCCCCCAGCATAACATTCTGGTTTCCTCCCCTCTACAGTGTGGGTTAGTTCATTAGTTTTGTGTTTGTTTGAGACAGAGTCTCACTATGTGATCCAGACTGGGCTCCAACTCATGGTGATCCTCCCGCCTCAGCCTCCTGAGCACCGGGATCACAGATGCGTATCACCACAGCCTGCTAATGCATTGATTTGTAAAGGATTTTATATCACTGCCAGAAAGAGAAAACATGTCCATTTCTAGAAATGGAAAGTAGCCTTAACAGCAATGGACATAGCAGAATCGTGTTACATTCGAGCTGGCCCTGTTGCGTGCTGAAGGCCCTGAGCTCAGGGTCTGCCCCGCCTCACCATGAGAGAGAGAGACAGGAGCTCAGGCAGCCCCCGGGGACACAGTCCCTGGGGTTAACAGAGGAGCCCAGGGAGCCGAGGGGAGATGGAGGTGAGGTTGTCTAACTCACACTGGCATCCGGTCTTCCACGGAGCCAGCGAGGGCCGGGCGTCCATCCCCGGGGCCGTGGGAGGGGCTAGGGAAGCCTGCCCCCGGCCCTTTGCCATTGCTAGCACAGGTGGGGCCACGGCCCAGGGACCCAGGGCTCGGATTCCCTGGCGCACTCGTGCCTCTTTCTATGCCAAGGGGACTGTTTCCGGGAGCCAGGCAGTGCTGCGGTGGGCATGGCACCCGCAGGCCGGGGCTGAGGGGTCTCGCGGTCCCGCTGGGTCAGGAAGGGGGACTGTCTGCTTGCTGAAGGCTCGGGACACCCTTAAAATGCGTCACTGTTGGCCACGTTCGCCTCTCACCTCTACACCGTGTGACCCCCCTTCCTCCCAATCAACTTGCTTTTCAAATAGTCACATAAACCGAGTTTTAGCCAAAAGTTTAATGACCAGGCGGCTTGGGGGCCCTGCTGCGGCCCCCCTTGCTCTCACCTGTGCTCAGGGAAGTGCCGAGTCCTCTGGTCGGGGCACCGTGCCAGGGACAGCAGCTGGTCCTGCAGTGCTCCCCACCCACCAGCTCCCTGCAGGATGGAGCCCTGGCACCTCACGCACTGGCTACTTCTCAGGGACACTCTCGCCACCGCTGGCCTGGCCTCCCCACCTCCACCGTGTGCTCCGGGGTCACTTCCCAGGCTGCTTCCTTCCGACCAGGCCCCAGGCTGTGCCGCAGGGATCCCCGCCTCAGCACTGCCACAACTGAAGGTGGTCACGAAAGACTGCACAGGTGAGCCCAAGCCAAACGCCGTTGCTGGTGTGTTCTGTTTCTTCCAAAGGCAGGGTGGGCAGGAGGAAGGGGCCACGCGAGAGAACCAGGAGGGAGCCGGGAAGGTGCAGCTCTAGGCTGAGCCTGCACCAAGGCCCCTGCTCAGGGCGTCCTGGGAACAGGCATCTCCTACCGGGCGGCTGGCAAGACACAGGCCTGGTGGCACCCAGGCGGGCAGCACACGGCATCAGGCTGGGCACGGGGGCCAGAAGGAGCTGACGGGACAAGGTGTGACTCTGGGCCGGGGGAGCCCCTGCACCCAAGAATCGAGAGCTCATGCCCTCACTGACCCATTCATTCCCCATTCCATAAATGTTGGGGTACTGTGCTAGGCACCGGGGGACTGAGAGAGGGAGAGACCAAAATCCCTCACGGAGGGAACATCAGCAGGGGACACGGGCAAAAATAAGTGAACACACACACGATCTCCAAAGTGAGGGTCCTCCGTGCTGCAAAGGAAGTAAACAGCGTGATAAAATAAAAGCCGGATGAAGGCAAGGGGTTTGGACGGGATGGCCTGGGAGGCCCCTGAGGAGGGGCTCAGAATTCACAGAAGAAAAGTCTAGGTGGAGGGAATAGCAAGTGCAAAGGCCCAGGGGTGGGGATGGCATCGGAAGAACTGGAACAGAAGGTGCCGGGCACAGGCGGGGAGTTAGGGTTAGAGTGGGTAGGGTCCCCAGGGAAGGCATAGTGCAGGCCGCCTGGGAATCAGAGGCCAGGGGCACTGGCGGGGAGCGGCAAGGGGCCTACGGAGTTGGGTTCCGAGAGCTTGTGCTTGGTGCCTTCTTCATGGGAGCAAAGGCCAACCTGAAGACCTGGGCTTGCATGGGGTCAGCCCAGACTGCCACAGCGAGGGGCCTTGGGCCGCTTCGCTGGGGCGGACCTGGCCAATTTCAACCAATCCAATCAGTACACTCACCTACAGCATTGTCTAATGGCTTTTACCCTTCTGAGATGCTACTCACCTAGAGCTACTCACCAAGGTGGTGGGTTCTCCACCACCCCCTACTAGGTAGATGCTGCCAGACACGTACCCTGCGCAGGAAGACAGTCACAGACACAGAAAATAGGGTGTGACAGTGTACTAGGAAAGGGAGAAGGGTCATTTGAATGGGCTTTTGAAGCATGAGGAGGAGCTCGGTGGTGAGAAATTGCCACCAAAATGGCTGAAAATGTTTTGCCTCTGCTGTGTCCTGGTGCCGCGCACAGTGCTGGTCCGCTCTTTGAACAAATTGGAGCTGCCCACGTCAGGGCTGCTCTGGTAACTACCTTTATGATTTTTGTGCTGCCTGCTTTCTGCTTCTAGCATTACTTAGTGAATGTTTGTCTTCACGTCTCACTTTTCTACTTAAATCAACCTATTTTAAAAGGAAACATTTCGTGTTATCACTAGAATTTAAAAAAACAAAGAACATATGCCACCAATCAGCGTGAACCAGAAACAATAATTACAGTGAAAACAAAACCATGTTATTACAGCTACCTGTTACACGAATTAAAAGGCCCACCACGGACCGGGAGGAGATATTTGCAAAGCACACTTCTGACAAAGGGCTGACCCATATCCAGGATACATAAAGAGTCGTCCAAACCCATTAATAATGATCCATTTTTTTATTTTTTGTTTGCCTTGTGGTTTGAAAGATTGAACCCAGGGCCTTCACAGTGAATTACATTCCCGGCCCTTTTTTATGTTTTATTTTGAAACATTGTTTCCTTAAGTCACTAACTTCCCAAGCTGGACTTGAACTTGGAACCCTCCTGCCTCAGCCTCCCAGTGCGCTGGGATCACAGACACATGCCACCACATCAACTTGAATAGGCAAAAACATTTAACAACCTCTACACTAAAATAATACCATCATCATCACATAAAAAGATTATCAATGGCACTGATCAATAGGAAAATGCAAATTAAAGCCACACCCACCTATATGATTTGTTTTTTGAGCTAATGTCTCACTGAGTTACCCAGGCCGGCCTCGAACGGCCAGTTCTCCTGCCTCAGCCTCACCAGTGCTGGGATTACAAGTGTGAATCACCACACCAGGCTTACACATCTATTTGGATGAAATTTTTAAAAAAACAGCAAAATTCTCACAACGCCAGTGTCAGAGAAAACTGATACACACTGCTTAAGGGACTGAAAGGTGCTGCTAGGGACAAAAGTTCTGCCATGAAACAGTTTGCAAATGTTCCTAACGGCTTCATTCACAACTGCAGAAAAACCGAAACAGCAAAAATATCCCTCAGCCTGCGCGCAACTGGATAGACACATCGTGGCCCATCCTTACGATGGAGTACTAGGTGGTAATAAAAAAGAACCATCTAGCAGCACGCGCATCTCAAAGGCGTCTGGGGGAGGGGAGACAGGCTCAACCCACTGGGATCCCCACGGTGTCAATCTGGAGCAGCAGAGAGAAGGGCGGACCTGAGCACCCTGGGCTGCTGGAGGCGGGGCCCTAAGAGGGCGGGCCCTGGGGCCTGGGGGCGGGGCCGCGGGGCGGGGCCCTGAGAAGGCGGGGCATGGGCGGGGCCCCGAGGGGCGGGGCTCTGAGGGGCGGGGCCAGGGCCAGGCAGTCCTCTTGCCTGTCAGTTCCAGCTCCGAGCTCATCCGCACTTGTGCAGGAAGGGGGCTGTGAAGCAGCCAGATGCCTCCAAGAGCCTGAGCCCGGGGTGCCCTTTTCGTCAAGCGGGGCTCACCAGGCATCCAGATGGCCTGTCATTTTTGCCACAGGAATGACTCCTGCTACGTGATCCCTTCTGATCTGGTGCTGTAAGGGAGACCCCAAAGTAACTCTCTCTGGTACCTATAGTGTCCAGACTGAAGACAGAGCACATCTGGGGGTCCAGGATAGCAGGTCAGGGTGCAGGACAGGCTCGGCCCCAAAAGCACCAGAGCCTGACTGAGCTGGGGCTGTCCATGCCCTTTGCACCAGTGTCCTCTGTCACCCTGTACAAGTCTGGGACACCGTCGGCCTTTGATGGCCAGGTCACCCTTCCAAGCCTGCACAAGGGTGGTTCCATGTCCGCCCCCCCAACCTGACAAACTCCTGCGCTCACCTCGGGGGCCTCTGCCTCTTCTCCCTGCTTCCTGGGCGCGCCTCCCTGGAAACAGTCGCTCTGCATGCTCTGTCAGGCGATTTCCTCCGCCTGCTATCCCTCCCCTTCCCCTCCCCCACGGGCCAGTCAGAAACTTCTGTGCTCAGGGGATAGAAAACCAGGCCAAACTCTTCCCGCCAAAAACAGGAAACTAGCGGCTTATGAAACTAGAGAGGCTAAGAGTGTGTGCTCTCAGGTACGACTTGATCCGGGAGTTCAGACCCGCCCAGCTCTGAGCTGGTCTCTCAGGCAGCTTTTCCCTTGCTTGCTGTCAATCTGATGGACAATTGTATCTCCTTCCCAGCACCAAAGCCCCAGGAGAGAATCTCATTGGGTGAGTTTACTCACGTGACCGTCTCTGGACCAATCACTGTAGCAGAACCTGCGCACCTTGGAGGCAGGAGGCCTGGGCCACTCCCCAACCTCCTGGATCCCAGGGGAGGATGTTCTCCAGCAGGAAGTGGGGGGAGGGGCGACAGTGTCCCCTTCCACTGGCAAGCCAGCTCACCTGGCAGGTCAGTGACCGCAGGACGAGGCGCCCCCGCCCCGGACTCACGCTCCTCCTCTGCAAAATGGGCTGCAGGCTGTTTAAATTCCAGCATTCCAGAATTCTGGGACAGCTTCCAAAGCTGGAGGCTGCTCTTAAATCCCAGGAACGTTCCGGTACTTCTGGGGACGGAAGTGGAGAGTCAGCCAGAGCCTTTCCCGGCCCCGGCCTGGGAACCTGCTTACAAGATGACAATTGGGTCCCTTTGGCCGAAATTCCACTCCCGTGGGGGCCTTGCCAAGGAAAACAAGCCCAAGGACCGGGCACTAAAGGTGAGTGTACTTGATGTGTTTTAAGATGACAAATTATTTACACAGGTGTGGGAGCCGACCCCTCCGCGGCTTTCTTTACTTCTTCTTCCTCCCCTTTCCAAATTCTTTCCCCGCAGGGTGCTGACAGATGTGCGGGGGCGGGGATGGCTCTGGAGATCTGCCCAGCAGAGCCCACAGATCCCAGGGGGAGGAGGGCACAGCAGCAGGACGAGGGTGTCTGCACCCGAAGCCTCTGGACACCCCCCCTCCGGCTGCCTAGGGACCCCAAGAGCCTGTCACAGGTGGATTCCCCACTACCTGAGGCCTTCCTGATTGTCCCCAAAGGGGGATGAGGGACCAGACAGATGAAAAGTGGCTTTCAGCAGACTCGGGGCTCACAAGGAAGGAAATGGAGGAAATCGTTTCTTAAGCACCTACTGTACACCAAGCACCATGCTGAACTCTGGGAAAACCCTTGTCAATCAGACAGATAAAGTCTCTGCCTGTGGAGCTGGGACTGACACAAAGAAGAGTGAGATACCTCGTCCCTTCAGCAGGAAGAGGAAGGGGGTGTCCCAGGCTGAGGAGGTGACAGCTGAGTCCAGACAGATGAGCACCAGCCCCAGGGAGACTGGAAGGCAGGACATTCCAGGCAGATGGCACTGCACATACAAAGGCCCTGAGGTAGGAAGGGTCTTGGTGAGTTCAAGGTACAGTGAGGGAGCCAGTATGGCCAAGCAGGGAGAGGAGCCTGACCGTAGGTGGGTCCTGCACTTCATGCCAGGAGGGGCAGATCAGCCCCACATTACCAAGGAGGAAACTGAGGCCCAGAGAAGGCCAGGGATTCCATGGCTTGGAACTCATTCCCCTGTGCCTCTGGGGGACAGAAGAGAGGAAGCAGGGCCCCAGGATCTGTCCCGAGGTCAGATTCGGTTGGAGGTGCTGGCCAGACACGGCTTCCTGTGGAAAGAAAACGGAAGTTAGTTAGCTGCTGAGTCATAGGGAACAACAGACTTCCAGGCCACAATGGGCTCTGCCTCAGTTTACCTACCCTTAAAATGGGTTTAATAATATGTCTCCCTTGAGTGCAGACTTCAGAGGATGTAGTGAGGGTTAATTGCTGCCTGAAAGGTGCAGGAAGTAGGTGCCATTAACCAGACAGGTAATTACCCCACGGGCAAGGGGGCAAGGGTCCCAGCCAGAGATGCCCCTGCCTCTGGTTCAACACCGGGCCAGTTCCTCCCCAGACTGCGGGTAGGAGACGGGCAGACTAACACTCCTTGAGTGTCTCCTTTTGACCCCAAAACTGGCCTCAAGATCTCATGCAGCACTAGATGAAAGCTGGCATGGCATCAACATGCAGAAACCACCCAGGCCCAGGGTTCAAATCCCCATTCTGATCCAAGCACTGCCATGCACACCTGCAATTCCAGCTACTCGAGGCTGAGGCAGGAGGATCGAAAAGTCTGAGGCCAGCCGGGCAGTTTAAGGAGACTCGTCTTGAAATTGCATTACAAATCCCGGCTCGGCTGCTCCTCGGCAGCGCTCCCGCCCCGGGGCCTCTGCGGCTCCATCTGCAGGACAGGGCCACGGACCTTCTCACGTGAATGTGGCAGTTCTCACCCGGCTGCGCCCCTGTGAAGCCACAAGCGACACAGCTGACCACGGTGTCAGCTGTCTGCCTCCGCAGCCTGCAGGAAAACAGCAAAAGAGGCTTTTTCTACAGAAAAGAAATGACTTTCAGATTGTCTTTGAGGACATTGCTGAAGCCTGGGGACGCAGCGCCAGGTCCCAGCTGGCCTCAGGAGCCACCATGGCCCTGCGGCTCTTGAGTCCTGATTCCTACCATCCCCTTCGTGCTTGTACAAGCACGCACGCACACGGACGCACACGTATGCACACACACACACACACACACACACACACACATACACACAAGCAACCCCGCCCTCCCGGTCCAGGCGGGGACACACAGCCTGCTCCCCCATGGCCTCTTCAGGACTGAAGGCGGATCTGGGGGCCAGAGTCCCCTCTCCTTCCAGTCCCTCCAGCAGGTGGCCCGGGCCCATCGGACAGTTTAGCACACTGAGGCCAGAGGTGCTCAGAGAGAACCTGTGCATGCAAGAGGCAGAGAGGGCCCCCACCCAGACGCCTTGAGCTTCCCCATCCAATGGGACCCAAAGCCCCTGGGCCGCCACCTCAGGGAAGGCGTTAGAGTCCCGAGTCCCTGCTGCCGCCTGGCCTCAGAGGACTGGGGAAAGGCTTTCCTCCCGAGCAGCAGCTTCCAGGCTTGGGCTTGCAGTGTGGAGAGGCGGCCTTGCCAGGCAGCAGCCCCATAGACTCCGTAGGCAGCAGCAGGCCACATCCGGCCCCCGGGGCTCCCCACCCTGCCCCTCAAGGGCACTTTGTGGGGCAGCTACTCTGCTTGGAGCCCCATCCTGACAGGTGTCCCGTGGCCTCTGCTGTTTATCCAGGCATCCAGGAGGGCCCCGGCTTCCTCCGCCACCCCAGCCCCACACTCTGTGTCCTTCAGTGCCCTGATCACTCATGAAAATGATCTCAAGTTCCCAAATCCCTCAAGGAGAATGCAGGCTCCGTGCAAAATGTTTTGTTTTGTTCACTGCTGTGTCTCTGGGACCTAGAAGCCCAGAACATGGTGCACGGTCAGTGTTTGCTGATGTAATGAAGATGTTTTCAAAAGGCAGGAGGAATTCTCATCACGTGGGCAGGCGTCCCAGGAGGGACGGCTCTCGAGGACTGACCGATGTCCCCAGGGTCTTACTCGTGATGTCGCGAGGCCCTCGTGCACAGGTCCTTCCTGTGCTGAGCTCCTCACACCGTTCCTGGCCGATTGGACCGAGGAGCTCGGTCCCAGCACTTCCCAGATACGGACACCGCAGCTTAGGGTTACAGTCAAGCTCGCGCCCAAGTCACCGGCCATTTGGTGGCAGCTCTGACATGCGGGGCTACCTCATCTGTGACCTGCAACCCAGAGCGCCAGAGCCTCGGGGCTTCTAGAAACCATGCCCTCCCCCCAGAGAAGGGGTGCGGCCTGCCCCGCACCCCCAAGCCGGTCAGCAGCCCAGAGGGACGACCCCTGGCTGCCACCAGGCCCGTGGAGGGAGGCTGGCTTGGCGGCCGTCCTGTGCGGGGACGCCGGGCAGCCGGGAGTTTCTCTCTCCGGACTTACTGTACATGACTCAGCGCCAGCCCCAGTTGTGAAATCTGGGAATCTTGCGGGCAAGGCCAGGCCCGGGGGATGGCTGTCTGGGAAAGGGAGGCTGGGAAGGGGTTAAGGGGGGTGGAGGGGAGGAGCGGGAGGCATCTGGCCAGCCCTGCCGCCCGTCCGCCCGAGAGGGCACCAGCAGCCCTGGGCTGGACGCGCCTGCGGCCTGGCTCTGACATCACTGCTGCGTCAGCCGGCCAGCCCAGCCCCCACTTCCTCCCCTGCCTGGGCAGCATCCCCAGCCCTGCCCGCCGCTGGCCCGCTGTCCTCTCCCTGGAGGGAGTGTGCCCAGAGGGAGGGAGGCACCAACATCACTTTGCATACAGGAGGCGCTTAATAAACAGTAGCGGGGTGGGTTTGAGCCCAAGCAGAGTGCCATGAGCGAGCCAGGCAGAGAGCGGGCCACCACCGTTAGAGACCAGGCTGCAATCGCCTGCACACAGCCACGGTTTCCTAACACCCGGGTCACTCACCCTCGGGGCTTCATCAGAAGGATATGTGCTCACGCTGGGCGTGCTGCCGCACACCTGTAATGCCAGCACTCAGGAGGCTGAGGCAGGAGGACTGCCGTGAGTTGAAGGTCAGCCTGGGCTGCCTAGCCAGACCCTGCCTCAAAAAAAAAAAAAAAAAAAAAAAAAAAGAGAGAGAGAGACACATGCTGTGGTGGCAGGGATTAGCCTGAGGCCTGGAATTTCTCCTTCATCTCATCAAGTTATTAGGTGATGTTAAATCAAATGGGCATTTGTTTGATTAGAAGAACCGCAAAGATTTCATGGGACCATTGATAGATCATTGATGACTTGATGGTTTTAAATGAAGTAAATTCTGCTTTTGAAATCTTGAAGGCAAAGCACAGAGTATGCTAGCAGAGGCCAGACAGCCCGTCAACACACATTAGACCCACGTCGCCGTGACGGCCACTCTGCCAAGACAGCTGCGCGACTGTCCCATCTCATGGATGAGGAAACTGAGGCACGGGCTGACCAGGCATGCCTGGCCCTGAAGACCTGCAGCCAGATGCGTGGCCCCCACATGCACAGGGGACTGCACAGAGGTCCTCGCCTGGTGACTTTACAGAGCAGAAAAGCCAAGGCCCAGAGACAGCATGTGACCTACCCAAGGTCACACGGCAGGCACATGGAGGCACAGGCCCAGCCTCACCCCTGGACCAGCCATTGAGTAGAGAGTCCACTGAGGGGAGTCCCAGCCCGCCAGGGGCACAGGCCTCCCTCCCCGACCCTCAGTTTTCTACCTCTGGCTCACCTGCACTTACAGCTAGAGAGGCCCAAGAAAAGCTAGCCAGACCATGTCCCTCCCCTGCTCAGAACCTTCCGTGTCCCCTACCTCCTATGAAACAAAAGCTAAAATCCTTGTAACAGCACAAGGTCCTGCACAGTCATCTCCACACCCCTGCCTCTCTTTCCCTCCATCACTGTGGCCCACCACACCAGCATCTCCAAATGCACCCAGACAAGCCTTTCATGAGTCTGCCACAGGGCCTTTGCACTTGCTGTTCACTCCCTGGAACACTCTCCTACTATGGTTCCATCCCTGTATCTCATGGCTCAGATGTCACCTGCTCCCTCAAGCTGTCCCCCGCCCACTTGTTTCGACCCCCTCTCCCTTTTCTGCCTTATTTCTCTGAATAGTACCAACCTGTGTAATATGCAGCTTATTTATCTTGTTTATTGACTGCTTGATCTATGAAAGTGTGACATTCATGGGGCAGAGACATCTGACAATCTAAAGCATGCTGGTGCCCAGCACTGACTCACAGGAAATGTTTAATAAATATCTGTTCAATCAATGGATTTCCTTTTCCTCAGAAAATCTGGTGAGGGATTGTCTGGGGCTGGGCTTGTCATGACCTTTCTTTCCGGACAGAGAAGTAACTTGCTCGGGGTCACCAGCTTCCAAATGAGAGGTCAGTCTGGCCCCAGAATCAGTAATTTTTGTCTCTGCTCCAGACCTCCACTTACCAAGAATCAACACAGGCAGCTGCCTGCTGGGGTCTCTGCTTAGAGAGCTCAGAGAGGTTGGGTGACCAGCCCTGGAGACACAGCCTCTCCAGGCAGGAACGCAGGTCTTCAGGGTGTTCTGCCCAGCTCCTCCAGCCCACCCCTCAGCCAGTACCATGGTAGTCAGGACCCAGGGCCCACTGCTTGTGGCCTGGACATTCCCCAACCCACCCCACCCCACCCCCGCCTGCTGGTCCCATCCCTGGCCAGCTGGCCAGCGGCACAGCCTGGCCCAACCTTCCCAGCATGCCTTGGGGATGAGCTGCGGAGTGCGATGGGCCCAACTGCCAGGTCCCAGGTGAATGTGCACCGATGCCCCAGCCAAGCCGGGTCCCCAGGGCACAGCACAGGGCAGAGAGGCCAGCAGTGTCCCCGAGGCACTAGGGGACAGTCTCAGGCCTGGTCACAGAGAGAGACTGGTGCGGGTGTCAAAGGAGCGGGGTGGCGAGCAGTGACAGCAGTTGTCACTTGGCCTAGTTTGGAGGGGTGAAAGGGAGAGTGGGGGCCGGGCACACACCTCACGCCAAGGGCAGCTGTGGCAGGGTGGCCTTCTAGGAGCAGGTCAGGGCCGCCCCTGCTGCATCCCACAGAGGGACCCATGGGCGCAGGTTCCCACGTCACCTGCCTGCACGCTTCAGAGTTACCTCAGTTCATATGAAACGCTGGGGTGGAGCAGAGTTCCGGGGGGCGTGGCCCGGGACCCAAATTTCATCCCTAGCGAGCAGCAAATCCGCCCCATCCTGAGTCGGGGCTGAGGGCTAGAGCCATGGCCAGGCTCAGGACCACGGGGAAGTGGCTGTCATCTGGTCCTGCACCCCATGGGCTCAGCGTCCCCTGGTAGAAGGCTCCGTGGTAGAAGATGTGGGCAGGGATGTGGCACTCAGCTGTGGCGTGCTGCGGGGAGACCCCGTGTCCTCTGCCCAGCCCCTGGTTCAGGGGACACCATGTTCAGAGCCACGGGCATCCCAGCACGCTCTGAGCCTCCACCCCATCCCCTGGGATGGATTTTCAGGTGAGAAACCTGCAGCCTGGGGAAGCACCCCACCAGGGCCCACAGAGGAGGAACCCGCCCTTGGCTGCCCCCCCCCCCCAGGCTCCAGGGCCTCCTGCAGGTCTCCGCAGCACACAGGCTCCTTGCAGGGTTTGCTGAGTGAATATTTCTCTTGCTCTGTGGGATTTGTGTTCTGCAGTGGCCCCCATCCAGTTGGTGGTCTCGGCCTCTGGCCATGGGTCCATATGCTTCCCAGATGCCTCCTCCTAGCTCCCAGGCAACCTGCAAAACAGAACCTAACTAAAGTGAACTCAGCACCTTCCCCCCAAACACCCCTTTGCCTGGGTTTCCCCTCTCAGGGCAGACCCATCGCTGCCCACAGCTGAAACACTGTCCTTGCTGCCTGCCCATCTACCCTTCTGAGCCACTTGGTTCCCACAGCCTGGGAGTCACCAGACCGCAGCCTCTGACCCCTCCAAGGTGACTGCAGTTGCCTCCTTGCTGGGGACCCCACCATGGCACAGCCAGCTGTTGACACTATTTCCTGCAGCTGCCAGGAGCCCCCTGTCGTCTTCCCAGGGAAGTCCCCGCCCCCAGCCACCTCCCAGCTCCCTCTCCAGGGCAGTACGCTCCTTGTCCCCTCTGAGCCTCTGCAGTCCGCTGCTTCTGCCTAGGGAGCCCTCCCACCACCCAGCTCTGCTGGTTTCCCATATGCTGCCCTCAGGATTCCACCTGGGGGTCGTGGGTTTCCTAAACCCTCCCGGATGCCCTGCATCTGCTTTAGGCGCGCCCTGAGGTCCTGCAGCTCCTCCCAGCCCTTCCATATTAGAAACTGGATTAAAAATGAAATCATCCCACTGAGAGCTCTGCACACTCGTGGCTAGATCAGCAGCTTTCTCCCCCCACAGCCTTCTAGGCAGTCTTCTAGGTGTGCGGAGGGCACACCTGTGCCCCTCCCCTGGGACGCCCCTGTCCCCTCAGCCACTTTCACCCCTTGGGCTCCTCCCCAAGGTCAGGGCACAAGGAGGGGAAAGAAATTCAGCACACTGATGGGAACGCCCCACCTAAGGTCTGCAGGTGGCTCCTAGGCTCAGTGACCGCCCATAAAATTAGTAAGCACATTTTTGTGTCTATGCCGTTTATTGAGAGATGATTCATAGTTATCACGAAACTTCTAAACTCCAAGATCTTGGTATAACTGCTGCATCAAGGAGGGGCACAGAGATCTTTCTGCCTCCCTGACCCCAATTCACAGCACAGCCTGTGTTCACTCACGCACACACCCATCATCTGCCCACACCTTCACCCACCCATCCCCTCAGTCACACCCCATCCACTCGCCCACCCATTCTCTCATCCACGCAATCTCCCACGGCCACAAGCCCACCCTCGGGGGTATCCATGCATCCATCCCTCTACCTCCCCATACCTCTACCCACCCATCCATCCATCCATCCATCCATC